TCTTTGCCACTCTTTCATGTATTGTAAATCGTCATTGGCAGCATTCTCTTTGACAGTTTTTGTCTTTGAAAACAATTAGTACTTGATCATCTAAATGTATCAATATTGTGGTATCAGTCAGCAACATATATCAATATATAGGATGACAGTCTAAAGCTGCCATTTTCTGAAATAATTTTTTTCCTGTGTTAGATGAGATCTTTAAAATTCAAAATATAACCATTGAAGCTTATCAGATAAAAATTTGTTTTTAGCTTCAGCCAATATTTGATACAAAGAAGATTCTTTTACTGTGTCTAGACTTCATATTTTTCTCTCTGGTGTCTCTTCAGCTTATGCTAATAGTTTCAGAGAGCTTTAACCTCTTTTTCCTCCTTTGAATATTCTGCATTTGCTCCTGTGAATTTGCTCCTATGTAATTTTTGCTGCAACATCAAAATTAGCTGTCTGTAATGGTATTTACAATGACTCTGAGTATTGCAACTGATTATCATATTTTATAAACTATCATTGCATGTGTCAACAACTACTTTTAATTAGGAGAGAGAGATAGTTGATTAATATACTTTATTGTTCTTTTTTCACACTGTGCTTTTTTCTCTCCCTTTAGAGGGATATATTAAAAAGAAAAACCCAGTTAGAAAACATCCAAGAAGAATTTAAGTGTGTTGTGTATTTTGGATAGGTTTGGATGCCCCATCCAATATCCATGAGGGCAAAGTTACAAACTCCTCCATAGAAATTCTCTGGAATCGAGCTGATGGGAATTTTCAGCATTATGAAATCACGTGCATGAACTGTGCTACTGCTTTCATGGTAGGTTATAGGAGGCTCTTGGAGAAATTAAACTTGAATCTTTCATGCTGAATCCAATATTACTGCATTCTTACATTAGATAGTAGTGAAACTAAATAACCCCTAAGTTTTTTTTTGTTTTGTTTTTTTTTGTTTTTGTTTTTTTGTTTTTGCTTGTGTTCAATTGTGGAGCATTTCTTAAATGAAAAACACTTGCTAATTTATTCGTTTGGAATGATAGGTCCAGAAAGTCGTGCAAGAAGCAGCGACATTCTTCAACCTGGATCCTGCCACTGTGTACACCTTTTCAATTCGCACTGAAAAAGAAGGTTTTAAAGATAGTACTCCTCATGTGAAAGCAATACAGACAGGTACAGCCTGTGTAAGCACTTTAGGTGTTATTCAATCTTCAAATATTTATTTGATTCCTTTAGGGAAGATTGAGTAAATAGTACATTCTTCTCAGGTTTACTTCATGGGCTGGCAGTGTCCCCTCTTGCTTCTTTGTCTGTTTGCCCTCATGTGGGTTAGCACAGCCTCTTTCTGGTATGCATTGCCAGACAATAGATGGCTGATTGCCTGGAGTCTGGCCAGATTCTCATTTGTGATTTAATTTCTCCATTGTGTAGTTACGCAGACAATGAAGTGCCATTTCTCCGGTGTTAGAAACTTACTCCCAATGGCAGATGGTGATTTATTCTGTGCTGGTCTTATGAAATAAAGGATGATTGGGAAAGATGTATGAAAAATGCTCGTTTTCACATCTAGCTGAAGTGAAATTGTCATCTATTCTACTATTTTAGTTATTCTTGACACTAATGCTACAGGAACATTGTTTTATATATTTAGAAACTGGTCATGTCTGGTATTCTTTTTCTGTAATAGCAAAGAATGGAATTAAGAGAAATATCTAGGCAATTTTGTTCCTTTCTTATACATGGAAAAATTTTAGAGAGGAAACAAGATATATATTATACATTATTTAATTTAGTTGTTTTTTCCTCAGGAAAGACGGGAATCATTTCTTATTTAGATTGCAACTACTTTCCTGCTGATTATCCTTGTCACTATTTGATATTTAATTAGAATAAGTCCTAAAAATCGTTAAATATTTCTGAGGGTGGTGGTTGTACAAGACCAAGATATAATCTCTTCCTACATTTTGGAGACAAGGGTGATATTGAGTACAAGGCTACTGGGATCATATTGGCTTTATTTCAAAGTTTAAAATGATTCTTGCTGTTTTTTTTTTCTTCTCTCTCTTTTGACTTTTAACTTCTCGTCTACAAAGAAGAATAAAAGGAATGTGTTGGTTACCCTCAGTTTGAAGAAAGTCAAAGACATCTTGAGAGTGTTTCAGGGTTATGTTAAAGGTGTTTAGTGTGGTAGACAATGTTATTTTATGTGTATGTTTTACATGATACAGCCCCAAGTGCAGTTGAATTTATGAACCATAGTAGAAACTCAAATGAAGTCACTGTTAGCTGGCCGTCACCTAGAAGTCTCCTAGATGGATTCATTATTTCAATATCTAGTGAAAGCTTAATGAAAGAAGAAATCCTGCCCTCGACAAAAAGGTACAGAAATATTGAAAAGAAATTATGANCTCTGGTGAAACTCTCAAAAATCTGAAGAATTTGCTAAATACTTTCTATTTTCCCGTTAGGTATACTATATGTGCTTAATCATATCGGTAAATCTTGCATAGTTATATCAACACACATTTTCTCCAATAGTGAGTCCTCTTCAAGACATGGTAACATCAGGATTTGTTAAATTTACTTTCAGTACTAATTGATGTTGAACCAAGATATTTTTGCTCAATAGAATGAGTACCACTAACACTAAACTAAGATATTTACTTACCTGTCTATTTATCTGTTTCTCTAAGGTATTAATCCACCTCAGAAAGTGTATGTTAAACCTGAAGATGTGGGAGAGGACAATATAATGCTTCAGTGGGAGTCCCCACAGGATGCCCACGAGGTTTACATTCAAATCAGATCCCTACCAGATACAAGAGAAGTCATGAATCTTTCTGTAAAGGATGCTAACAGACTCAAGATTGATAATCTAATCCCTGGAATGACATACGACATTGGAATGGCAACAGTGATTAATGGGAACTTGAGCGAGCTGGTAACTATTCAACAAACTCTAAGTGAGAATCAAATACTTTGCGTTCTTAACATGTATTTGCTGATGTTGGGGTACTGTACAATATTCTTTATGGACCCTTCTGGTAATAGGTTTTACCTTTAAGCAGGTTGTTGATATTGCTGTATCTAATGGTAGCCTCAAGACCCAGAGTAATTCTTATCCCTTTTATCTTGGCAATATCCCCTGCTTGTTTATGATTAAGGCAGCATTGTTTATGATTAAGAATTTGATCCTACTTAGGTTTGAATCTGGGTTCAATTATTTGAATAACCTGAGCAATGTGCTCACCTTGTTTATGCCTCAGTTTCCATACTTATAAAATGGGAGAAAATAATAGTATGTATTTCATGGAATTTCCTGAGAATAGCTGTTTTAATACTCATAAATGTGAGGAATTAGAACAGTACCTGACACATAGCTATACTAATTATTTTATCAACAAAGGCATTCTATAGCACAGTGGAAGGAAATATTGACAGTATATAAAAGGATTAGGACAAAACTAATAAAAAATTTCTATGTCTTTTGTCAAATAAGATTAATTCACTCAATAAATAATTGTTGAAAACTTATTAAGGCGGGAGAAAGGCAAAAAGTGAAAAGAAAATAAATAAATGAAAACATAATTATACATATTTATAAGTTGTGATAAATGTTAGGAGGGGGAAGAAAGCAAAATTATGTGACAGAAAGTAATTGAAGAGGAATGGAGGGTTCTGCTGTAAATAAGCTGTAATAGAAAGAGCTGTATTTGAATGGAGGCTTAAAGTATAAAAAAGGAGCCAGAGTGGAATAAAATGGTGGAAGGGTATTTCAGGCAGGAAGGCTATAAAACAGGAAAGAACTTGGTGTATCTGAGACCAAAAAAACCAGAATGTGTGTTATCTAATGAAGAGGGAGAGGGTAGTAGGAAATGATATTGGAGAGGTGTTCGGAGGTCAGATTGCAAAGAGCATGTAGCTGTGCTTTTGAGTTTCTTTACAGGGCAAAGGGAGGCCACTGAGAGTTTTATGCTGGAGAGTAACAATGTGACTTATGTTACACAAATTTACCTGTGGCTATGTGCAAAGAATGATTTGTAAAGGGGCAAGGGAACTGCATAAGAGAGTATTGTAGAATCTAGGCAAAGGATTATGGTGGACGAGATGGCAAGTGCAGATGGATAGAAGTAGATACATTTCATATTATGGAAGTAGGCAGTCCCAGCTTTAATGTTGGAGTGCTTGTGATGGATAAAGGAGGGGAGAAACTTAGGGTTTTGACTTGAGCACTTTGGGTGGATAGTGGTGACTCTGAAGAAGGAAAATAATTGACCTTGTGGACCATTTGGCTAACAATAAGGGGAAGCCTGGTGGAAAAAAATGAATTGGTCTAGAAAATTACATACCAGCAGTGTCCACATTCAACCAGTATTGAATCTTCCCACTTTATCCTCCAAAGACTAAAACTGAATTCATGTATGGCACTTTCATACTTAATTTCTGAGAAAACCTAGCAGAAGTTAATTATCATAGGTAACAGCTATTAAAAAGAAAACTAAGAAAGGCATTTCTAAAAAGAATTATTTCATGCCTATGAAACAACCCAACAAATCTTTATTGGCAGAATGGAAGTACTAAAATTAAAATGCATAGAACGAAAATGAACTGTGGTCGTATATCTAGCAGTTATTAGCAGTATGAGGTTGGAGTGTCTCCATATTGTCTCGGTGCCTAAGTTTTCTCTCTTAAAAATTTAGATCATTTAATACATTTTGAAGTTGACTTCTAGCTCTGCAGTCCTATTCTTTGAACTCAAGGGAACTTAGCATATTTCAATGCATCTGCCATCTAGAATATAAAATTTTTGCCTGCCTTTTTAGTGATTCTTTTTAAAATTTTGTTTAGCCCTGTATCTCCAGGTGTAAGCACAGTTCTTGACTTTATTTAATTTGAACACTTATTTGTGAATCTGCTATCCAACATGGATGCTAAAATATAGATTAACATACATTTTAGGAAGAATAGTAGGACAGAAATCTTGTTGTCAACCTGATATGCAATTCCTAGTGTAGTGCCCCTGATCATTTTGTAATGCATCCCTGTCGTTTCCCTCTGTTATGGCTTGACATCTGTTCTCCAGAGCATCACAGAGCAAATCTACTCCTAGGTTCCTATGAAGGGCCATCAAATGTTTGGAAACAACTATTAGGTGTTCTTGGAGTATATAGTTTCTTTCCTTCTGATGAATTATCTCTAGTTCCTTCAAGCATTCCACTGTTTTTTATAATCCTATTGTCCTTTCTGGTCAGTTCTTAAGCTTGACAATCACTTTTAGCAGCAGCAGATTATTTATTGTTCATCATTTGTACTTGTCTCAAGGTGGTAAAGCAAATATTAACCTCTCCCAAGGTGCATAAGTAGAAATTAATACTTTCCATGCATTCACCCAACGAATATTTATTGATAACTATTATTCACCATGTCCTGATTTTCTCTCTCCCATACACTTTGAGGCAATCAAGCATAGAGGGGCATTTTCCTTTTAATGAGATTTTACAGACCTGTAGAAGAGAGTAAAATTTACATATTCACCTGTTTCCCTTTCCCCTTCAAAACACATCTGTTTGTCTTTCTCTAAGTTATTCTGAAAATAAT